GGAAGTCAACTACAGAAAGAACAAATGAAAACCTAAATACTTGGCTTCACTTAAAAGCCTAAAGGGAATTCTAGAAAAGGTGGAGCATGACTCTTCTCAGGAGCACACAGTGTTCTTTAACAAGAGGCAATGCCACAGATTGCAGCAATGGAAATTTCAGCTGCATATCAGGAGAATATTTTTTACAATGAGGAGGGTTCAGAAATAGGGAAGTTATGAAACTTCTGTCCTTGAAGACTTCTAAAACTTGACTGGCTAAAACTTTGGGCAACATGACAGAACTTTTAAATTGGTGCTGCTCTGGCAGGAGACCGGATTAAGTGACCTTGAGAGGGCTCTTCCAGCATGAATAAGTCTGTGATTTTGTAAGTCTAAGTTATCTTATATTTCCAGTTATTTGTGGTGGGTAGGAGAGAAAGTGTTCAGAAACCTTTAATTTCCCTTAAAACTTATAGCAGAAAACAACCTAATTACATATTTTCCTTTAAGTTTTCATTTTAGTACTACAGAAAATTCAGTTCTTTGCATTATATTTAACAATTTCAATTTTAAATAAGTACATATTTTAAACTTATTCTTTCAAGTTCCCTCTGTTGCAGTACAGGGCAATATAGGAAAGGAAGTAACATGATTTGAATAGAAATAGAAATTCCTTTTCTTTTTCCTTTTTATTAAGAACAGATGCTTTAACCTGTATAATGAATAATGAGGAATCACAGTTTGACTACACCCAGTGATCTATGTACAAAATATCACTTCTGTGTTTAGAGATCTTAGTTGCCAGCGTTCTGTACCTAACCTTTCATATTCTTATTCTACATGTTTTAGGATCAGAACTGAAGTACAGGATTTACATTCATATTGCTAATAAGCTTCTTCTGACAGCTGCAGTATACTGAGTAAGATGAAGTATGGCAGCCTCCACCGCCAAAACTTCATCTCTGAAATAGGCCATGTGGTACAGAGATTAAAGAAAAATATACAGTTCTGACTTCATCATTAATAGTATGTAAAAGTGAATGTAGAAGAGAGATCAATCATGCTTATTTAAGAAATCTTAATTCTAGCATTTCTTGATATATCGGACTGTTTGACTTTCAAACATCTAATTTTTCTGTAAACAATATATAAGTACAATCTAATAATGATTTAATATAGTAAATGTAAGTTTTTTTCTGTAAATAAGGAAGACATCAAGAATGCCATAAAAATAGAAACTAAGTCAACTTTGACATTTAAAATGAGCTTTTCAGACGTGTACTCTTGGTCATATTCACATAGTACTTTGGGGATACAGTAAAGTGATTCCAGAGCTCAGCCAGGCGACAGTGAAAGGAGAATTCTTGTATCTGATCACACAAATAGAGTTGAATGCAAAGAGAACCAGAAGTACTGACTCAAGGATGGGACCCTGAGTAGCTAGGGCTGCTTTGGACCCTGAGGCCCAGCTGGTCCCCCAGTCCAGCACTCCTAACCCAGCCCCTGCCTTGAGTTCCAGCAGCTGACAGTGAAAGTCTCCACTCCCACGCTTGCGATGGCACCAGTGCAACCTCAGAAAAGGGTTTATTTCAGCAAAAAGTGCTTACTCATTTCAAAACTAAAAAGGGGAGTATAATTCTTATTCTGCTTATTTTCTGCTTGTGATATCATTAGACATCATTAGGGGAAGCTTTCAAATGCCTTGAATCAAGAGTGCAGTTCTTAATCACATGAGTATTTTCTGCTGTTGTTCTGAGATAGCTGAATTTATCTCCTTGTGTACTTTCCTGGGTTTAAAAAAATCATAGAAATATTACATTTTCTCAGAAATGCTTTCTATTATGTTTTCTTTCTTTTTTTTTTTTTTTTTTTTTTTTTTTTTTTTTTTTTTTTTGTTTCACTAGTGTACTACAGATGTGCCTCATTCAAGATAAGAGGTTATGCTTTTCATGTGCTATATTTGGTTAGCCACAGGCCAAAATAAATATTGCCAGTCCTGACACCTTAAAGTCCTACTTATAGAGAGTATGGCAGTCACCAGTAGGCAAAACAACACACAGACTAATTAGATATTTTTGAAGAATAATACTGAAAAGTAAGTCTGTGAAGTGGCTTTTCTAGGCATTTATTCACAGATTCACATAAAAATCAAGGTTAAGAACAAGCGATTGTACTTCCTCTTTGTTACAAATCATTCTTACAAAGCCATAAATATTCTATCTTGCTGTGATAGAGTTTCAGCAAAGATAACTGTGCCTCAAGGACAGAAAATACTTGGTGTGACACCATTTTCCACAAGATATCTATGATTGTAAAGGTGTATAATGCAAACAGATTTACATGGATGTTCAAAAATAGTCCTTGAATCTCCTCAGTCTCTTTAGAGATGCTTATCTCATTGTTCTGAAAATTTCTTAGTCTCTACGGACCTGTTTCAATGTAATAAGGAGAAGCTGTAAAAATGTCACAACCTCCACTCCCACAAGTAAAATAAGTATATTAACAATTGAAATATGTCCTCTCAATTTTCTCAGCAGGTGATGATGTACACATCTTATTCTATGTGTGCAATTGTTTTACACACAGAATAAGATCTTAAAACTTTGGAAAAAAACCCAGCCTTATTTTTATTTTATTCTATAGCAAGCTATAAATACTACATATATAATAAACTATACCAATCAAAACTATTATTAGGCTGTAATTTTAACCTATCAATTCTTAAAGCCATGTTGCACAGGATCCTTTCTCATGGTTTACAACCTCAGAGGCATCCCCCTGGTACTTGCCTAAAGCTTGTTTTTTATTCTCTAGTTCAGACCCAGAGCTTTCCTCAAGTTTCTACATGCCATTTCAAACAAAGAAAATACCCAGGTTTATCACCACAGATTTAAAATTGCAGTTATTCCCAGATGAAAATATAAATAATACAGAAGATTCAGTGCAAGATTTATGAACATGCCTGAGAAACATTACACTAGAAATTATCTATACTGAAAGATACTTACATGTGTAAAACAGCCAGAGCCTCTGAAGGATCTAGAATGGAGGGGTATGTTATTTTAACCTGAACAGTTGGTATCTTTGCATTAGATGTATATTTCCAAGCACTAGATCTTCTAGGATATTTCCCATGTGGGTAAATCTTGACATAGCATTTGAGTTCAAAAGGAGAGGAGAATGATGCCCCACATGTGAATTAGATCTTTTGTAGATAATGAATTGATCTCTACCAAATTTTTTAATCCATGTTTCTCTGAACTTTTCCTTTTCTCCCTCTCTTTTACCAGCCTTGGTGTTCTGAAAGCCAATTGAAGTGGAAAGAATATACTCTACTGGGTATTTCAAGGCAGATCATATCACTGGAGCTAATAATACCTCTACAGAACAAATAAAAAATTAAACTGCATTCAAATATAGACATGAACCCTATAGGTGTTTGGGAAACATTCTAGATGATGATTTCTATACTTCAGAAAAAAATAATTTCAAGGTTTAGGTACTGCTCGTGGCCCATTTTATTTCCAACTTGCACTTACTAGTGTTCTTACACTGTTTTTATACTCAATGTCCAAACAGCTACTTCTCCTTTCTCTGTCTTTCTCACCCCCATTCACTTCCCGAGGCAAGATAAGCATCCCAACATTTACAAGTTTAGGAATGCAGGTGGCTGAAACAAACAGGTGGAAAGAGGGTGGATTGGGTTGAGAATAATTGTACAACAGGTGCTGGGTTTGTTATATATCTTAGTTCTCCTGGAAACAAAGAAAGAATTTTGACCAAATAAAAGATAATATATGCAAGTTCTTTTATTTGCTATGTTTTTGCCAAGCTTTTAATGAGATTTGGTCTGTCTGAAAGTATAAAACCAGGAAAGGGTAACGTTTTACCTGCAGAAAATTACTTTGTGCCCTCAGAAAATGAAATTCTGATCATTTTGAAGTCAGCATTTTTGGCAAACAGAATACATGGGGATGAAGTACCTTGTCTCTTGTAGTTTTTGTACTTTAGGGGTGATTTGAAAGAAACAACATGCAAGGAAATATCTCTGCCTCATTTATTCTTCCTATAATTGTGTTTAACCTTCTGCATAAAAAGGTATCAGCAACTCGCAAAGGATCAGAGGATTACACCTGTAACTTACAGTTGGGCTAAACTCCCTATAATCAGGTAAAAAAAATAAAATCTGAGTCAAGAAGATGATGTGATGTGTTTGACACAAGGAATTCTCCTTGGTGGTCACTTCACAGCACTGGGAGCATAATTCAGCAGTAACTAGACCCAACTGAAGCATATTATCCTAAAAAAATTGTTGCCACTGCTAATCTTTTATCCCACAAATTGCCAGCTTTCTGGGAATCCCTTGGAAAGTAGGAGTGTTGGTATGATGCCATTACCAACTGCCACTTTATGCATTATCACACTGTCAATAAAACTATACATATTACATTCTTAGGAAAACATATTTTTCCTATAGATTTTTACTATGTATAAGTGTTCATGAAAAAAATTCCTACCAGAAGCATAAACTTAAAAAACACTGATGAATCCAAATGACAATCTGTCCTGGCACCTCAGTTTACATCTTAATTTAATGAAAGATCTCTTGTTTTACAACTATTATACTATTATCCCTGAAAGAAATCCAGTTAAGTAACAGCAAGCTAAAAGGTACAACAAATATTTCTTTGCTCCTTGGACAGCAATGTTTTGTATTCATGATATAATTAATTAATGATATTAATTAATATAATGGGTGGAATTTGCATTGCAGGGCTACTGAGAGGGACAAAAACAGGTAATTTCCTTATAAACATATATACAATTATTATTGTGGGCATCAGAATGTATACACTCATTACTGCCTGGTTTAAAAGTTTCTAACATACCCAGAATATTCCAAATTTACATCATACTATGACATTCATTTAGGTAACACTAAAAGAATGAGTAAAGCAAAGCACAGCCTGGGATATGTTAACAAAGAGTTGATGGCTTAAATGTATCCAGTGGTAAATTACCTTTGAAAGATCTCCAGCCTCCAAATAGAAGCAGATAACAAACACGTTCCATGTAACCCAAAGGACCAGCCAGACAGCATACTATAGGGAGGAAGAGAGAAACATGGAATTAACAATTTCACTCTCAACTGAGTTAAATTTAGTACATTAGCTCAATCCAAGATAAAACCAGATTATAAGTATGGTGCCCATGAAAAAAATGTTGCACATAAGAGAGAATTACAAATACATTCTTCCCTTTCCCTGACACAGTGTCTAGTGACCTAGTGAGTACTGTCACATAAGAAAACCTGCATCTCAGGAAACAATTGATAAATCTGACGTTTTAATTTGAGACTAATCTGTATCTCTTTCTTTGTTCAAATGGGTAATGCTACAATAAAGAGGTGTGTAATATCAATTATATTAGTTATTATTAGCAGTTATTATATAATTGTATTAATTATATTAGAAGTGCAGAGCTGATTATTCAACTATAACTTACTAAATAACAGCCTAATTGAACTAGCCCTGGATTTTTTTCAATACTTCAGATTTAAGCAATATAGTTTTGATTTAATGGAAGCTAACACAGCTATAAATGATTGAATTGCTATATACAGAAGTAATTGCAGGTCATTTAAAGCATACAGATTACATATACTTTATAGGTCAGCTCTTTCTGGTCACAGATGACAGAATTATTTAGGTCAGGAGAACTCTCTGGAGATCACCTGGTCCAATCTCTGCTCAAAGCACAACCAGCATAGCACAAATTTTGCAGGAATTTATCCAGTTGAGGTCAGAATCTCTCCAGAGATGACCCAGCTAATCCACATCCACACTTTGAATGAAGGCTGCTAATAAAACTGGAAAATAGGAACTTAGTTCAGCTGCCGAATCTTAACAAATTCAATTTTTTTTAAACAATACTTGGAGATATTAAACATATTAAGCATTTAATTTTCCTGTAGCTTTGTCAGAGTACACCCCTCTTCACATGTAGCATGAAGCTTTATAATTACAAAAAAGAGAAGAAAACATCAATTTAGATTCAGTAACCTTAATTTGGCTTTATTAACCAACTTTGCAGCATTTTAACTTGTTGGTTTTTGCCAATTATTGTAATTCTGAAATTCTTATGTAGAAAATAAAAACACTTCTTCTGACACATGAAGATAACTGGATTTCTTTTAATGAAAATTCTAAATACTACATTTAGACTGGTTTCTCAAAGATATGAAATGTGCAATTTCTGTTCCCTTTAAAAAATTTTTGTGCTCCACATAAATTTAATTTTTTTTTTAATTGGACAAAAGAATACAAGAAGATTTGAAGATACTTTATGCACAAAAGTTTCAGGAAAATGGGCATACAAATGGGAATAGACACTATAAGTCCTTATACAGAAAAAGGCTTACAAGGTCATCATTTATCAGCCAACATGAAAGGGGAAAAATATGGGAGAGAGACACTGGAAAACAGGTCTCATTGGGTCGGCTGTTCATAGCACAACATATCCCATTGGACGTAAGCAGCAGCAATTAAAAAGCTCAATGTGCATAGGACAGTCAACAGAACACACCAAGGAACTTTGGAACTGCTTGTGCTAGCAAAGAATCTTATTACATGAAAAAACAAAACTTTTTCGTACTGCCGTGTTTATCACTGAAAAACTGACACATTTATCTGCCATTTAGATACACTCAACAAGAATCTCGTTATTGGACTACAGATAAAGCTAAAAATATCTTTTAAAAGTATGTTTTAAACTTTTTTTGTTTGAAATGTTGTATTAAGTGCTTGTTGCCAGAATTCGGTGGATAAACACTTAGTTGCCTTGAAATAAAAGGGTGTTTCTGCTTCCCATTGCTTCTTATTTCAGAGGCTTCAGATGTAGCTCATCTCTTATCTCTGCATCACACATAGTCATAAATGCCTCTTGTTTTCTATGTGCTTCAGCAAATTGTTGAAGAAATTCAGCACTGAAGGTCTGTGACAGTGAACAAATCCCTCTGACACTCTCCATTATACGTATCTAATTAGAAACACATTTTATAAGTATTCTTCAAAGGGCTATAGCTGTATTTCTTTCTCATATGTGGGAGTTCAAGGCAGCTGCATTATCTGACAGAAGCCATCACATTACAGAAATTACATAACAGCAAGACAAGAACTTTGATGAATACACACTTGACCAAGCAGGAGATACTAAGAAGGGGCACAGCAGTGACAATGAAGCTTATTATTTTTATGGAAAGAAGTATAACAAGAAGGTTAAGACTAAAGCCTTGAATAGTAAACATGAATTTATAACCCTCTGCAAAGACTTTTGAGAAGTATTAGGTATTTCATGATTTATTGATACTGTGTAGTTACATTCACTATGAACCATCAAAAATTAATATAGGATGTATTTTTTTCTTGGGGAATGGAAAACTGAGATATTAAAATACCTGTACCAGTACTGAGAAGCTGTACATTTCTCTTCACACTTCTGTCAAAGTTCCACTAATAGTGAAATTGGAGGTCAAAGAAATTAAATCACTTCACTTAATACCTAAGCCAAATGGAAAAATGATCACAAGGGCACAAAAAGCAAGTTCAGGTAGGCCACTGCCTTTGATATAAACATGGTCAGCAGAACTCTCATCTAATACTCTTGTCACACTTTGCCAAAGGAGAAATATGTCCCATACCTTTCAAGCATAAATAGTCAGGAAATGTGATAGCTATGAGTATTTTAAATTAAAGAATTATTTTTTTCCAAAGAATTTTATATGTCATTTCTACTGCTTCCAAATCTTTTCTGATATGTGAATCAGTTACAAACACATTTATCTGGGGGATACAAGGGCTGAGACCTACATTGTGGAGTTCAAAGCGATTGAATAGTTCTTGTCAGTAATGATTTGCTATTTATTTTATTTTTATAAATCTACACAATTTTACTTTCAGATTCTTCCAAATCTGAAAATATTCCCCAAGATCCTGCTGCATTCAGGAAAAAGAAACTGAAGGAATTTCTAAAATTATAATTACTACATCTATCACAGTAATTAAACATGTGATTATTTATGCTATCTGGAGAATAATACTCGAGTTGTTCAATATCTAGAGTCCAGCATGTCTTTCCAGTAATGCAGTAAGAACAGTCCACAATAAAATTATCTTTGCTTCTGAAGTTGTTTCCTCTAATTTCCCCAGTCTATGAAGATATATCACTTAGAAATGCAAGTTTCAGACCTATCTCCCATCTAATATCATATAAAGTGAAATTCTGAATACTTGGCATCTGTGCCTCTTGTTTCCATATGGCTGAACTGATGGAATCATCTAGATTCCCCTGTGAAAAGTCCATCTGAAGCAGAAAGGACATCCATCTACAGCGGGACTTCACATAGCCCTTTAGTAGGCACCATCTCTGGTTTCATCTGGTCTGTACATTTTGCTGTTTCCTTCCTATTCCCATTGCTTGAATCTTTTCCTGGAGAGCTGATGAGCAAATGGGCAGCACAACATGGTGGAGAGTCCAGTTCTAGAGCCCAGCAGCAGCCACATATCAGTGGGAAGCTTCCAGTGCAGAGCAGGATCAGAAACGACAGCCTGACTCCAAAGAGAAATCTGAAGTCATCGGTGTTAGAATGCATGAGGACCAGATTTTAAACTGTATTTTAAGCTGAACTGCTGCTCTCAGAAACCTAACAAAAAGAGCGACCATGTTCTGCTTTTAATGATTCAGATGAAAGTCTTCTGTGCCCAGCAGTTATCTAGAGGCCTCACTGGAAGAGAGCTCAGGGCCAAAAACACTAGTCTTGACAACAAATAATCCTGGCAGCAGAGGACTTTGTGCAACCAGTTCAACTTCAATAAATGCTCATCGACGTTCCTGAATGTACTGGGAAGCTCTGGCAGAATGACATAGTTCTCTGGATTTTTTTCATTGCTTGTTAATTGTCACAGCATGCAGCTTCCACTAGTTTTGCTTGGCTGAATTCTTATCATTATATCTTAGTCTTAATATCTTAAGATATTTAGACAATATCTAAGTCTTAATTCCTATCATTAAGACTTAGATATTTTTTGCTAGGTTTTATTTTTTTTCATTTATTTTTAATCATGGCTATAGGATCAGAGCACTGTCCATTCTTGTGAGCATCTGCTTCTAAGCAAATATGAATTGATTCTGTAGCATCCATTTTGGGTTGCTGTAGTTTTCTGTCTCAAATTGCAATGACAGTCTAGTTTTCTGCCTCTGTTTATCAGGAAATTTTTTAACCCATTGGCATTGTGATTCCTTGACTCTTCAGTCTTTCATCAGTCACATATTTATGTATTTTTTTCTCTTTTCATTTGTCCCCTCAGAAAAAAAAGAATCTGCCTGATATTTTATTTCCTTGTCATTACACTTTAATAATTAGTGTCGTCTTCCAAGACTGACTGAAAGATGCTGAACTGTCACATACATCAGAATTGGTCACTACCAAACAGAAAATTGCTGTTGGAATGATTTTTTTTCCTCTTGAGCAATCAGTGCCTACAGATATAGGGCAAATGCTGCTTAAAATTTCTTTCCAGAGGCTTCCATACAGCCCATGGCTATGTACAAACTTTCAGCCTCCTTGAACTCAGTTATAAGCCCTGATTTTATATTATTTATTAACTCTATTTCCCCCTCAATGTTCATGAGAAGGATTCATGAGCATAAACAGCAGGAGGAAAGTTGATTCACATTCTGGCCAGATCATAAATGGATAAAGGCACGGCCCAGAGCCAAGTACATTGATATGATCTGCAGTCAGCCCGCAATCTACTCATAGCCAGGGACCTCTAGCTTGAGTGGGACTCACTGGGCTTCTTTCTTTTGGCTTCTTCTGTTTTGTTCCCTCCTCCTTGTGCCAGAATTTTTATGGGAACAGGAAGCACAGCAGAGATTTTCTTTTTGTTCAGAAGATATGGCTCCAACTCCTTTTGCATAAAATAAGTTGAATTTCTACAGAGCACATTACTGTCACAGTACTATCCATCTGCCCACATTTAGATGCCTGCAATGCAGATGTCCTCTCCGAGCAGCATCTAGATTCCCATTACACTCAATTCAG